TGCTTACAATGCTAACTTTATTGCAACATATTTAATTTTAGCTAATATCCCTGTTAACAAATGGGCATAGTCACTACAACTAATACCAGAAAATCGAGTTGCCCTTTAGAAATAAAATATATATATATTATATCCTCCATATTACAATCAGTGGTTGAAGGGAAGGGGATAGGAGAAGAAGAACGATAGTATTCTAAAACAAGCATTACTTGGCTAACCTCTTGTCACCTATATCCAATGTTTCTATTCCTACCAGATTTAACTAGACATTAGAAGCTGACAGGGTAACTGCCTTCCATGAAAATTATCATAGAAGAAATATCTGAAGTTGTTTTAGAAGGAGTCATCATACAATTATCTTAGCGGAAAAATAAACAGATTTATGGGACAGGATTTGGGTGGATCACTCCCTGCAGTGTCCTCTCCACTTTGCCTGACTTCATTTCTACTTGAAGAAATCTGCCTGAGCCCCTATATAGACAGTCCATCAGAGTTCATGTCAAGAATAAGGACTACCACAGATCACTCTCAAAAGGTACCTAAACTTTCATTCCATGTTTATTCTGCCTCTGGTAAAATCTCAACCACAGATTTACATGATGTGTGATCCGCAAATAGAAAATGAGGCTTTTCTTCAATGAAAGAAGAAATCCACTATGAATCTATTAAAAGAATTCATCCAAGAACCAAACCCAATCCAAAAAGCATCATACAAAATTATGAACCCTTCACTCTGACCACTAAGTAAAAAACTACAGGTAAGTTTGTGTGACTAAAGAGAAAAGCTTGGCTTCTCAAAAAGCAGCCTTCTTAGCCAAAGGAAATAGAGGCAAGAGTAGCCCGAGGAAGAGGTGAGCAGTCTTCTAGTAAGGCTGCCTGTGGGCCTAAGTCTTTGTAGCACCTAACTGCTAGAAGTCAGATTTTGACCACCTTACTCATACTGATGAGCAGATATACGTACAAACAATCCCACTGAAGTCAGGGAAAATAAGGTAGGCACAATCCAGCCCAAAGAATGGAGCACCTAAACCTTTCTAAGCGACACAGCTGCATGATTAAATGTACCTCAAGAATAGGGCTGAATGAATCCTCTTTCCCACCTGGCAAAACTTCTCAGATCTTTCAAACTAAACATGAACTTTGAGAATGTTTAGATATTTGATCTGCCTCCTTATCTTTTTTCCAGAGGAAGATGCAGGAGATCCTTACCAGCTCTCGCAAGTCTGGTAGAGAGGATGAGCTGAAGCATACTTTCTCCTCTTCCTTCAAGGAGTCAAGAATAAAAGGCATATTTCCTCACTAGATCTCCTTTGGAGGAATGTTTGGTCTTTTTGTACCGCCTCCAATGACTCTTCAGGAATGGGATGTGCAAACATTTCTGCGTCTTCTGCCCCTCTGCAGCTATGGGACTAACATGCCCCAAAATATACTGCATTATTTCTTATGCTTTCACTTACACTTAGCTAACTCATTCAGCTGAAATTTGGCACAATGGAAACTCTCCACAGATTTTTACACTAAAAATCACAAATCCACAATAACTTAGTTGCTTTGTCCACCATCTATAGGGTTTTTTTTAAACTACACACACAACTCACACACTTTGCTCCAGGTTTCAAACTTACAAATCTGCAGTTCTATTCATAACTGCCTATAGAGATGCTTTGGTAAACAACTGCTCTGGAGGATACATTTCTTTACAGGTTTCAGAGTAGCAGCTGTGTTAGTCTGTATTCACAAAAAGAAAAGGAGTACTTGTGGCACCTTAGAGACTAAAATTTATTTGAGTATAAGCTTTTGTGAACTACAGATCACTTCATCATTGGATGCGTTCAGTGGTATTTTCCACTGAATGCATCCGCTGAAGTGAGCTGTAAGCTCACGAAAGCTTATGCTCAAATAAATTTGTTAGTCTCTAAGGTGCCACAAGTACTCCTTTACATTTCTTTACAAAAATTAGTACATGCAAGTGTTCCACCTTTCATTTACCAGATTTTCTTAGAGATCTCTATTACACAGTACTACATTAAAGCTCAGTAGGAAATTTTAGTTCACACCAGCAGGGTCTACATGGACCAATTAATGCACACCATGTCAGCGAACTTTAGAAATCACACTCCTGTACTTTGTATTACTGCTCTGCATAGACAAGCCCATAGACAGATGCTTTTCAGTGCAATAGAATACTTTAGACCAACTGGGGAGAAAACCAATTTTCACATCTTAAAAAGCTCCTGAGGAAAAGCATTAATGAAAGAACAACTCCTAAGTAATTACTGACTTATTTGAAATATGTATAAAAAACTCTTCTTAGCAATGGCTCTAATATTTAATTGTTAAAAAGAAATGCTTAGTACATGATGAGATAGAAGAGTAAATTTTACTTTAAATAAACCCCGATATATTCTGTGCCAATTGTCTGCAGCTACACTAGATGCTGGTCCTGTAACTATGAAATATCAATGTAAAGAGGCCATATACAGTTTAAAAATAGTAGTAGTGATCTACTGTATTATAAGATGCCAATTTGTTTGCCTTTCACCCCTAAAATAAAGAGACTTGATTGTAGGTAATCTTTAGCCAACAAACTTACATTTGTCTGAACATTTTGCCTTATAATTTATGCTTCGTAAGTAGACTCTGCAATTAAATGCAATTAAAAAGTCTTCAATCTGGATATAATTAAACTAATTTGAGCCACATGAATCTTTTTTTTTTTTTAAAAAGGAAAATATTCTTAGAAGTATTAGGCACTAATCTTTGCTTAGCACTGCAGGAATGAGGGAGCCATAAAGGAAATATTTATGGCTTTCTGGATCCTAGGGGAAACTAGAGGTTGGTTTTGCCTCCAGAGTAGTTACATAGTCTTTCCCATTCCCTTAGCTCCTGCAAAAAAGGCAGTCAATCTTGTGCTATAAAAATAAGTTGGGTGGGAATCACAGCACCACCACAAGGAGCATAGGCAAGAATGGGTAGAACCATAGCTATGCCTCCTCCCCAATGTGCTCCTGCCATTGGAGTGGTGTCTGTAAGCACCCTAGTCAAGGTTGTAAAGATTGCTGCTGCTACATGTGCCTTTTACCACCCCACAAGTATTTCTGTCTGGCCACATTCTTCAGAATGTCTATGGGAACTGCTATGGCCACGATGATTCTCTACATTTCTTTTTGGTGTGGCAGTGGCTTTCAAAGTCATAGAAGTCTGCTACCAAGTAATCATCCTCTGCAGCACTAAGCTAATTTTGATTGCCCCATAAAGCATCCTTTACCTAAGAATCAAAAAAGCTAATATACTATTGTTTATATTATTTTTCTGTTCTTACCCTGCTGAAAAAGTGAATATGTTTTAGTAATCAAGAATCAGCTTCCAGAGTCACATTTTTGGTAAGTTCTGTGATGGAAGCCTGACTCCTATGCATCTCTTTCAGGAGACTAAAAGGTTTTTTGAATATTAAGGATAATTATTTTTAACTAAATAAATACCCTGGACTTTCTGATATTGAACGCAATTGATCATTGACCCAGTCTTGAACTCTTCATTCAGGCAAAAGAGCTCCTGTTGATTTCAATAGGCCCTACAATGTACTTTAACATATTTTCACATTTTGATGGATCAAACCAGAGTTTAATTTATCACTAACAAGCAGACCAAAATCATTGTTATCTGGTTTATTTTTCAGAGGACACATTTTTGGAATCTGTTTTAGGCTTAATTTCACTCTTTAGTTTACCATGATTGTTCCTTCATTTATTTGATAGCTAAACCTATTTATATGAAACAAGAATATATTCAGGATACACAGACATACTTCAAGTCTGATGGTTTCCTTTATTTTAGTTCCACAAGGAATTGTACTGAAAACCCAATACATCTACCTGGGGTTCAGACCCCTGATAACATTATGTCACAAAGGACTACACGCACTAGGCTACACCCTGTGAATAACTAAACATTGCCCCAACATGCCAAGTTAATTCATTTTGGTGCTAGGAGGGGGGTGATAGTTTTGTTTCTTCCCCACACACACCAAATACATATTGTGTAAACATTATTCCCCATTTATGGAAAGTTACTTTTAGTTATGCTAGTCTACTGTTTGGTCTTATTGCTAAATAAGTACATTTTACCACAAATTGATAATATAGTCTTTCCTCATCTATTAAAATTGATCTAATTTATTTCCTCATCTATTGCTAGAACCCATCTGCCGGAACTAGAGGCCAACTTTCATTTAGCTCCCAACAACCACATGCAAGGGATTAATGCTGACATAGTCCCAACAAAGACTAAATTTTGCACTTCTGCTAAAAAAAGCATTCATGGAGCTGTCAGTGCTGTTGAAGACATTCTCCTAAATGATGTTTCTAACAATACCTAACTCACTATTATAAAGTAAGATTTCTGTCTGAACAACACAACAAGATATAGAATTTAAGTTTTTAATTTTAAGTATTTAAGTTTCTCGTTCAGAGAGTTCTTGCTTTGTAACAGGATTTTGGAAACTAGAAACATAAGAAGATGCCCATAAAATGATACTGAAAAATTCCATTATTGCTCTTTTACAGAACCCAATTTAGCAGGAATGCAAAATTAAGAGTTAAAGAGCATGTGTTCGTAGTCATTTTTGCTTTTATTATACTTTAAATTACACAGACTATGAAAATATATAGATTAATTCAACATGCCTCCATTCATTAGGATAGCTTGTCCACAACCAAGTTTTTAAGCCTCTTTTTCCTACAAACTTTTCTGTTTTCATTTATCATGTCACTCTTCTAGTCAGGCTTATGTCTGTATTGCTCCCTCTTTAAGGGGATATAACTAATGTAATCACCAATATGCTTCTCCATTTATGGATTACATACACACACACACAATTTATTTATTTCACTCTCACACACAGAAATAGAGAGAGAGAGAGAGAGACTGGATGCATAACGCAAGTATTGTATTACATTCATACAATATATATTATAATATATAAAATAACCATACGACACCTTAATTTTTCTTTCACCAACAGATGTTTTAATTTGTTGTCTGAGAGGTTTTGGAGAAGACCTAGTGGATTGTGCTGGAGATCTACATTAAAAAAAGAAGAAAAGAAAAGAAAAGAAAAAGATCAATTCTTAACTAAATTACACTTCAGCATTTTGTAACAAAAATTCCTATGCTTAAAGGCTCCTCAGAAAAAGGGGGAATGGAGGAATCCAAGCTTCTGTTCCTCTATCCTTTCTCCTGCCCCTCTCCCACACCTCCCCACCCCGAAAAAAAACCTGTTTGCATGTGAGGTACTGATGGGAAGTACAATAAAATTTCTGACTTAAGGTTTCAGCAACCGGCATATGCTGTTAGGGTTTAAGTTTAATCACAAAGTTGTGATTCTGCAGGCGCATCATTGTTACTTGTGGCATTGGCAGTGCTATAACAAGTTTCTTCCCATGATTGTCTTCAAAGGCTTCTGGTCAGTCTCCACAGTAACTCACACACTCACACTCTCTTTGATGGAAGTTCTCACAGACAGACAGACAATTACACTTCTATTTTTCAGTTTGTGCATAGTTTATTTCCATGGACACAAGACTTGGATGCATACACAAGTGGTTTTGCTTCTTGCAGTAACAAAATCTGTTCTTTGCTTGGAAATATACACCTAATGGTTACCTCTTTATCATCACTGTCAGCCAATGTGCCTGCACTGACAAGTAGTGATTTCATTTCAGCAGAGACGGAACCTTTCTACATGTTCCCTTGAAGATCGGACTCTCTTTAAGACGCTTTTAGCTGTGCCAAGACTTCTGCAAGGTGAGGTACAAATTTGGCAATAATTTTGGCAATTCAGTAGCTTCTCTAGCTCAGTGAGCTAGTTCCTTCAACAACGCCTACAAAAAGTGGATCTTCAGGATATTAGTAGTATTGCAGACCAGTTTAGGAAGGTGTGACAGGGTGTAACTCACCACTCCAGCGCCTCCTGCTGGCTGTCACGGGGATTAGTTCTTTTTGCCAGTGCGCCCTCTTCTGGTGATGCCTCACTGCCATCACTTCTGCTCTGGGACCCACGTCACTCCCAGGACTGTGGCGTCCTCTTCAGTAACATAGCCCTCCGGGCATGTTACGCTCTGGGTTCCCCACTTTTGGGGGCTCTGCAATATCTGTCCAGCCACTTTCCTCAGTGGCAACTGCAGTACAGAGTTCCGCCACTTCCCCAGAGACAACTGGAGAAGGGGGGGACCCAGGCCCGCCCATTACTCCGGGTCCCGGCCCAGGGACCCTGTAGATGGTGGCCACTTATTGCGTCCCCTCCGACTCCTCTTTAGATCTTCCTGGGCCACTTCCCCGAGGCCCCAGCACCCTCTTTGCCCTTGCCTGAGGGCCTCAGCCTGCAGAACTCTGCAGCCTGCCAGGAGCTGCCTTTAACTCCCCGGGTCTCTGCCTGCAGTCCTGCTCTGTCCAGGGTGCTTGCTGCCTTCAGCCTGCAAGGCAGCCAGTCTTCCTCCCTCCTCAAGCTCCAGGGAGTGACTGAAGCTGCTCTGCAGCTCTTCTTATATGGGCCAGCATGGCCCCAAGTGGCTGCTCCTTGCAGCCTCCCAAGGGCTCTATTAACCCCTTAAAGCCCAGTGTGGGGCAGGCACCCCATCACAGAAAGGCATTTGATGAGTAGGGGGCAACATGCTAGAAAGCACAGAAACAGTTATGGGAGAAGTAGACAAATGGAATACCAAAGATGGCATCCTTGATGGAATGAAGGGGATGGGAGTAGCAACATAACTTTGACAATAGAAAACTGGGAGAAGAAAAATTACGTAGGACCTTGAAGGCTTATCAGTGAGGCAGGGAGGCCAGAGAAGAAATTGTGTGCATTTTCTTAATAAATTATGGAAATGTTTAGCCTAAATTCATTCCAAATTTACCCAAAAAATCACAGATAGTAGCTCTAACTAGATCAGTCTCCTTATTTTGATATTATCTTCAATGCATTTTCTCAGGTGGCTAAAAAAAAAAGCTGAAAATGCTATTGCAAACACGGCACGTAACCCCTTTCTGCCATCAATAAGGCTTCACAATAATTACAACCACCCCTTATTTTTCTTAAGTATTTGCACTCCAAGAATATATACGTACAAGAAATTGTTTCAATATAGTCTCCAATGGAGAGCAGCAGGGATCCATACAATAAGGGAAGGATGAAACATCTTCTGTCAGAGTTGCAGTATATATAGAAGAGACTGATTCAGTGAGAAAAATCTCACTTTGTCTGGAAAATTCTAAAATGTTTTTGATGATTTGTTGTTAATGTTGGTACTTTTAGTGCCAAAAGATAGAGATGCCAGTGACAAAACACTATCAATATCAGACAAAGGAGACTGTAACCACTTCTTACCAGTAGCTCTGTGGAAGGTTTTTTTCATTTTCAACTTCTTGCCAAGTTTTAGAATGAAAAGAAAGCTCTGGAACCATCCAATCTAACCATTTAAACTGAAAGCTCTGTCAAGGCCAACACAGAGGTATAGGGGAGGGACAAAGAGAAATTATCTGAATCTCTCAAAGTTTCATACATGAAACATGTCAGTTTTCTCTTCCAACCTTGGCCCTAAAAATAAACACAGGTTTCTGGAAAGTGGTCAGATCCCCGGCACAGCTGACCACAAAGTTTAAACAGATTTTTGGGACCATTCAATATATAAAAAAAAATAATGAAATCTCTGGCCACAACAAATACATTTGTTAAAATTCAGAAAAAATACTTAGAACTGATAGTAAAATTGAGAATTTTAAATTAACAAATAAGATTGGGGGGAGGGGTAGCTCAGTGGTTTAAGCATTGGCCTGCTAAACCCAGGGTTGTGAGTTCAATCCTTGAGGGGGGCATTTAGGGGTATGAGGCAAAAATCTGTTGGATGATTTAATTGGGGATTGGTCCTGCTTTAAACAGGGGGTTGGACTAGATGATCTCCTGAGGTGCCTTCCAACCCTGATATTCTAGGATTCTATGGCAAACTATAGTAAGGTTTAATATTTCCTATGTTTCTACCTGTGACCAACCTGCATTGCAAATTTATTGGTAGAGATATAGATTATCACTTTCCTCAAAAATACCATATTCTGCTACATTTCACCGCGTAGGTAAAAACATTTTTAAAACATAAGAACTTACAAACAGTATTATACCCCAGAAGTTACTGTTCTTAGGTGGAAGATGAAGTGATCCCTTACCTATCACACAATGTTCAGAGTTTTATTGTTTGTAAAGCAATTGAGAACCTCAGAATAAAGGTGCTACAGAAGTACAAATTGTTAAGAGATTTTAGAGTCTGAAGGGAGGAAAGAAAACAAGGAAATAAAAGTGATTTCCTGTATTTTAGCAAAAAGAATCCTTCAGTTTTAAGTAAAAGTAAGAAACTTTTCATAAGTTTATGAAAAGAGTGGTAGATTTTTGAGTGGTAGATTCACTTTTGTGAATAAATTGTAGTGTTAAAATTATGTTTTTTGAGCTATGAACACAGTATTCTCAAATGAAGTGAAAATTAGATATACTGAGTAAACAAAAAAACTGGAAACTAAAAAGTTGACAGCAAATTGACAATACATCTCTTAGTTTGCTACTAAGTAATTTGCTTTGTATAAGCAAGAACATTATTCTTGTTCTGCAGACCATTTATTACAGGGGTTTGTTTTGTTTTATTTTATAGATTTACTAGTACTCACCTAAAGAGTGTTAAGACAGAGGTGATTCCAAATGGAGTTACATTTTCATCACCATATAATAGTTCTGCTTTGTTTTTGGTAGGAAGATTGGCAGCTTCTTCATCCAAAAGAGCTAATAAGGCCTTTACAGTTTCTCTGCCACAGTAGGCAGTGCCATGGTTTATGGCATGTAATTTTGGCTGAAAGTAAATAGAAATTATTCCATCTAAGTAAATATTAATAGGAACATACAATAATGCTACAATGCATCAAATCAACCAACAAGGAATCCATCTTCAACAGCAGCCAGGTGCTTCAGAAGAAGGTGCAAGAAATCCCCCACAGACAATTATGGAATAACCTACCCAAAAGGGAATTTTCTTCCTAACCAACACGCAATTAGTGATATTTAGCTAATTGCTAGATGGAAGCATGAGCGTAATAAGATATACAGCTAAATATCGGAGTCTGAGCAATGACACTGCACTACAGAAGTTAGGTGGGAAGAAAATGAACAGTTCCCCATCACGTATTCTTGAGAGCTATGGGGCACACAGATACATTCTGGGACAGTCTAACACCAATCCCTTTTACCAAGTAACCAACTCTTTTCCACAGACCTGACCAGAGGTGTGTTAGGTACAACAGCCTCCAGATTAGCATAAAATAGATCCCTCAGGATCTTCCACAATAATGGAGAAGTTCTCAAAGAAAATCTAAATATGGAAATGCTCAGTGCTGCTCTCAGCAGCAGAGACGTAGAACTTCATAACCACTGTGGTACTGCAAGAATTGCAGGTTTGCTATAAAAAAAATAGAAAGTAAAAAAAAAGTAACAATCCTGTTCAGAAGTTTAGGGCTTGTTTTTTAAATGTACAGTAGGGTATTTTTAAAACCACAGGTTTTCTTGTTTACATGTTAAAAAAAAACACACTGCAGTTTAAATTTGTTCTAAAAAGATAGTACAAGTAGCAACAGAGTTTATAGAATCAGTTAACTAATCTTAAACAATCTCCTTGAATAAATCAAATTCTATTCTTTTATCTACCTGATTACACCAGTTAGTGTATGTATCTTCCAAGAACTATCGCAATATATATGTCAGACATTTACTATAAGTTAACAACTAGTGAATAGAAATAGCAACTACAGCTATGGTTGGCACCTAAAATTAAAACAGAATTGTCTATTTCAGTTCCATTTAACTTCCCTAAAATTTTATTCTGAGCCAATGCAGCCATTACATTACCACATAATGACTTTTGTGCAATATCATATTGTGTCATGGCACAACTGTTTTACTGTGAAAACTGCAAAAAAAGAGCAGTCTCAACTATAACTATGCACACAGACAAAAAAAAAAAAGCTTCACTACAAATTAAGGCATTCAAACTTAAATGGAAAAAGCAGCCACATGCAAGCATCATTTCTCTGATGCTTGTTAAAGCTATGCCCATGGCCCATTTCTTCCTGCCTTCAAAATAAATTGACTAGTCTCTCATGAATGATTTTCTGCTACTCCAGGTCCTATATTGGTCAATCCAGGTCACAACAGCCAAATTCTGGCCAGAATAGTAAACTTCTCAGATAGTGATGAAAATTCTCATTAACCATTAATGCAGGCTTCACATAATTAAATTAAAGCAAAGCTTTCTGCCCTGTGGAATAATTATTTAGCTGAAGCTCAGGAATTCCCACAACATCGAGATATTGCAAAGAAAAATATTGCCAGGTTAAAAGTTTTGTATCTGTTTGCTGCAAGGCAACTGTTTTCAAGTGCATTTTATTCAGAAGTGAATTAGACAGCCAGCCTTCCTAGCAATACTACATTGTGAAAGCACCAGTTGTGGCTCCATAGGTAAAATGAAGTTGAATTTTGCACTTAAAGAAGGGATTAACCTTTGTTAAGTATAAAAAATAGAGCATACCCTCCCCAAAAATCACAGCACTTACTCTGAATAAAAAACCTATTTTTCTGAGACTTTATAATGGAATCTATTAGTGACTCCTATAAGAAATATAGCACCCTGTGTCAGGCCTTTTAGGTCCAAAAAGATCTTCACAGAATACAGATGCTTCATGTCTCCCATATAGTTAAAAAACCTCATTGAAATCATAAACAAAAGCTATATTTGATTTTTTTCAAGAATTAATGGCTATTTTGCCCCTATTATTCTTAATAACTGTACTTTTTTTCAGCAGACACTAAAGAATAATATTCTTCTACAAAGAGTTTCACCAAAAACTGCACTTTTTCAAAAGTGCTGACTCTCTCATTGTTCTCAAAGGAACTGACATTACAGGCTGCCTTCAGTTGCCCATTTAGAGAAGGGCCTTTATTCCCCATTGTTCTGAACGGGCCCAAGTATTCCTCTTTACTTCCTCACAATATAGGATGCCACCATCTTTGGCTTCTCTCCTGCAGGGAACAAGGGAAATGGTGGCCCCGTTTATAGGGGACATCAACCTATGACCTGTGTTCCATTGAGAACAACAAGAGATGGCAGCCATTTTGATATAACAGTACTTTGAGAGTTTTTCTGAATAAGATTTCATGCAGAAGCCTCTGCTGGCAGAAAAACTTTCAGTTATGAAAAACAGAACCAAGAGTGACTATTAATCCTAAATATTTATTTTCAAAAGCTACCTGTTGCACCAGATCTACTCAGAAGGTAGGATAGAGGAGGAAAATGTCCACATGCAGAGACTCAGTGGGTGGAAGAAATAGGATGTGCATGTATGGAGAATGTGTGGGACAGGAGTAAAGGGAAAACTGCCCAGGGAAACGTAGAGTGAGGCAAGAAGTAGAACCTGGGGGACAGGAAAAGAGAGGCAAATGGGATATAAACTCTAGCTGCTTTGTGCTTCTTCAAAATGGCATAAAGCAGCCAGTCCATATTGGTCAATCTGGACATAAAAAGTTAAAACTATAGAAAATAATTTATGGCATCTCTTCAAATCATTAGGAATACCAAATGGTAGCATTCTGACTTTTTTAATTAAAATTTTATACATGAATACAAAACAAAGAAAATTCCTAGACAAAACTGAAGTGAAGATGAAGTTAAGGTTGAGAGTACTTATCAGTAATCTACGGTAAAATACATTACAGAGATGTTAGAGAGACAAGGTGGGTGACGAAGAAGAGACATGTGTGGCTTGAAAGCTTGTCTGTCTCACCAATCAAAGATATTACCTCACCCACTTTGTCTCTCTAATATCCTGGGACCGACATGACTACAACTACCTATTACTGCACTGCATATTAACAAAGCCCAAAACAAAGCATTATAAACCAGGAAAATTCAGAATTAATATGAAATTTAAAAGAAATCCAAACATTTTAAATTATGGAAATCACACAGTTTCACCACCTAAGTAACCTGAACTCTGTACTGTAGCAATACCCCCCACACCCCTCCCCCTCTTTTTTTTGGAAGAGAGAAATGGGGAGGGCAAGACAGAGAGAAAAATCTAATGAGTCTTTACAAGTCAGTTTAAATCACTAATGTAATCTGGGACCATAAATAGTAATCATAATCATATCATTATTGCATGGTATCTACAGAGCAGAATTAAGGTTGTTTGGATATGCATTACTATATCTTAACATGTTTGGATTTAATTTTTAACATAGAGTGTTCTGCATTTATATCGATTGATTTTGGGATAACTAGGTCATCAATGTATTTTATCCTAAATTTCTTATATGTACTCTCAGCCTTAACTGCATCTTAACATAATTTTATCAGGGAATTTAAATAAAAATTTAACTGTATTAATATTAGTAACAGATTAGTTATTTTACAAATATTTAATATTTTACAAACTCTTATGAATGGGAACAATAAACTGCATTTAAAAAAAGTTACATTAAAATTATAAAACTATTAACATAATAATTTTTAGTTGAAGTATAATGACTTTTTGAAAACCACACTATAATCCTAAAGGACTTAGAGTCTTTCAACAAATTTAAGTGTACTACGCTACACAGGAAATGACACTATTCTGTATTATTGGGAAAAGATTATTCTATATTTCAAGTTTAAAAAAAAAAAGACATTGGCTTTCTTGTAAAGCTGTATAGTAGGAGAACAAAAGGAGGCCCATTACCCGGGCTGGACTGATTCCAGTGGTGCTAGCAGTCACAGCTTCATGTTGAGAATTTATAATATTTTTAATCCTTAAATCCAAATCTTGTAAAACTTCCTCTGCTGCTCGACAGAATGGATCCCCACTGTTTCGGCCTTTTATCAAGTGTATCTTGATTGTTGATAGAATTCGCCCCCCTGCAATTCTGAAAATAGGCAGAGTCATCCCCACATTAATCTTGGCAATGCTTTAATATACCTATTAGTTCTGAACACAGAGTCTTCACAGTCAATCAAAACTGTTCAGAGAACAGCTTTGATCTTTTAAATAAAACAGCAGTGTGCAATTAAATACTATCCTTTGACATAATAGTTTACTAACATATTAAAGATTAGGAAAATCAAAAGGAAAAATAAAAAGGTAACCAAATTCAACATTTGGCAGTATGCGGATCTACAAGACAAAGAGGAACTATCCTGGCTGGAAAGAAAGTTCTGATAAAAGTATCTTCTGAAAATCCACATCTTTCTGTTTTGCTCATAGATCATGAGCATGTCACAAAGTTCTAGGAGAACTGAACCACTAAACAGTAAGGCATACTACTTTATTTGCAAATATATTTCTGTTTCACATAAGCCTTTCCAACAACCAGTATGTTTTCAGTTTAACTAAAATATCAGATTGCCAAGAAGACTAGTCGAGCACTGATATTCGTTATAAAGGTGTACAATTTCCTATTCCATAACAGAGCAGGAAAGATTCCTCCACGATCAGAGAGCACATACAGCAACACAAATTTGACTATGAATTATCCATACAATAGTATCGGTTATGTCAAAAGTATAATAGATGAGAGTATGTAACAGGGCTCAAGTTCAGCAGTTTTTATAGAAAGACCAGAAAAGAAGGCATATATGTTCCCAATTACACAAATGAAAGTTTCAAACTCATGAAGGATGGCAGGCACTCCTGATTGTGCTAGAGATACTTTGAAGTAGGCATTGTATCTTAATCAGTTTGCACAGTACCTAGCACAATGGATTGGGGCCCCTCAACAATACCAAATTATTAAATACCAATAAAAGTTTAAACAGAATTTAAAATGAGTGGCAGAGATGTACAGAAAGCAAACAAAATGAGGCAGGCTACAATTATTACCAGTGCTCAGGTTTAAGGAAATAATGTCAAAGAATCAGTTTTCCAGTCCTCAGATACCGTCCCACATCTCCATCACTTTTCAAAGATGTTTGTGGTTTGGTAATTTTGTTTCCAAATCTCTTATCAGCTCAGGATGCATGTCCTCCATGGCTACTGATTTGATTATGTTCAAAGTTTTCCCCAAGTATTCCTTTACTCATTTTATAAAAATCAGCTATTTATACTAAGTATTCATTATTTCAGAGACCATTTTAAAAGAGGAATCCTGCAGTGTGGCAATTTTAGTCATTTTAATAGTCTGCATTCATTAATAAGAATATTTGTTTTCTAGTCCTTTTTAGTATTGGGTACTCATCTTTTCCTTCAAGCCTTAATCAGCTTATATTCCTGTTTAATTGATTCTTTCCTTCCTCAACTTTACTGTTTCCAGTAAAGGGTTATTTTTACCCTCAGATCTTTGATTGGCTCAAAATGGAGCTGCCAGCCTGGTTTAAAGACCACTCCCTATCAACAGGGAGCAGACAGGACCCATTGTTTAAAAATATCTGTATAAGAATCTCATTCCTGGGTCTCATGTTCTCAGGACTACACAGGGTAGAACTTCACAACTCAAAGCTTTTGATCTTTTGATGCAGTGGTAGTGACTAGCACATAAATACCAATACCTCAACTTCCAGAACCTTCCAGTTGGCACCTTCTTAATCAGACTCTGAAGGAGCTTTCTTCAGGGGTGGGTCTCAGACTTGCTTTGGATGCTACTCCAGCAGAGTTAATGGGCGGCTTCTCTGTAAAAGAGTTCTCTATCTTGACCTTGCCTTTAATCTGAGACTGACCTAAATCTAAATTAATTTCCTTTTCAGTCTGATGCAATTTAAGAGTACTATTCTGTTTGCTTCCATAACTTCCTCCTTTCGTCTGCTCCCAACTTCTAAATTTGTGAACATACTTGTCAGCACGTTACATCATACTGATGAGAAATTACTTTTATCAGAGGATGGGCTAACTACATCTCCCATTTTAAAGAAAGTTTCACATGAAAATAAAGCTTCTGATACATTGAACTCAGAATTCTGAAACACTGGGAAAAATGATTTTACAGAAAACCTGTCAGGATTCAGGGCTATAGACTCCGGAAGTCCCAAAAAGTGTGCAAATTGACAACACCCTCCAAAAAGGGTCTCCGAGCCCCGACACACATTGTCTACACAGTGTTCCCACGAGGAGTAACATTTCTTTTGTGCATTCAATTTCAACAGGAGTTTACAAATTCCCTGGAAGTGCCTCCATCAAATGCAATTTAGCCTAGTCAGGTTCACACCCTAAACAATAAAAAAAGCTAAAGAGGCTGAGGGTGAGGGGAGGTGAAGGGCAGAAAAGAGAGGACTGGACTGAATATATAAGAGGTGATTTCTTTATACTGCATGAAGGAATATGCCCAGGGACTTTGCTGTTTTGAATTAATCTGACTGATCAAGAGTCCTGTAAATAAAATTACAAACCCTAAAGAAGTTAACCTGAGTCTCCTATTGCTTCTGTCCTGCCACTCAGGCCCTACTTTGCCACACAATCCTTAGTCTCAATTTTTGTAGAGGACAGATACTTATTCATTTTATGGTAGTCAAAACTGGATTATACTTTACATTAAATTGCAAGCTTTAAATCAAAATGAATAAATGCTTTGTGGAAGTGTAGTGAGGCGGAGTGGTCTCCCACTGAGCCAAAGGGGAAGGAGCCACTCTGATTCCCTAGTGGGCGGAGCCAGGCCAGGCCCACCCCTCGACATAAGCTAAATATAAAAGGCGAAGCCGTTAGTCCTGTTAAGTCTGAACCAGGGAAAAATGGGTCTCCAGCCCCCTGCAAAACCTCGAAGCTGAACCTGCGCTGCACAAGACTGACCCAGGAGAAGAGCTACTGGGACTGCCACTCGCCATATACCCCGAGGAGATGGAGGACTCCTGGACTATGGAACCCCTCGCCCAGACTATGGTAGGAAGTACCCAGGGAAACCAGATGTTCGTCAAGTTTCACTGTTAGAACCCGAGTCAGCGTATTGTGGTAGAATCCCCACTGACCCAGTGGCAGAACCCTTCACCACTGTTAGGGCCCTGGGCTGGGACCTGGTGGAATAGGTTGGGCCTGGGTCCTCTTACCTCCTGCTGCAAACTCCACCTGGGGTGGCAGCCTCCCTACCTGAGGCCAAGAAGCCTGTGATTGTCTGCCATCTGCCTGAGCCAGGACATCAGGTGATAGACTGTTTGTTTGTTCTACCCTGTCTGAAGGCCTGAGCCTCTAGACTGCTTATAGCTTTCCCCTGCCTGAGGGCATGAGCTCCCTAAAACTGTTGGTTTGCTCTGCACTGCCTCAGGGCCTGAGCCCTTAAGACTGTTTGCTCCACCTGGCCTAAGAGGCTTAGACCAAGATATTGCTTGGCCCTACCCATGCCACGAGCCAGGGCCCCTTGTGTTCAATTTGTAATTCCCCGTTAGTGGGCGACATCCCAGTGATGCAGTGAGGTGAAGTGCCCTCCCACTGAGCCAGAGGAGGAGGGACAACCGCTAACGCACTACAAGAAGTTTAAGTATAATGCTTGGATGTAGCCAAAGGGAAACACCCATGTGGAGTCAGTCTGCCCACAAATCAAGGGCTATCTGATTTTAGTCAGGAGAGTATATTAAAAAAAGCATAGACTCATAGACTTTAAGGTCAGAAGGGATCATTATGGTCATCCAGTCTGACCTCCTGCACAAGGAATCTCACCCACCAACTCCTGTAACAAACCCCTAACTTATGTCTGAACTACTGAAGTCCTCATATTGTGCAGAGAATCCTCCAGCAAGTGACCCGTGCCCCACGCTGCAGAGGAAGGCAGTGAACCTTTGCTTTAAGCGCAAGAAATGGAAAATCCTAAAGGAAAAAGTCATCCAATGCAGTTGTTAAGAGATAAGAGCAGAGCATTGCTGAAGAAAATTCTGTCTTTGAAGGATATACATACTAGGAGTGTTAGCCAACTCTCTTGAAATTTCATGACAAACTGCTTATTCCTTGCAGTATTTAATTGGCATCTCTAGAAGCAATGCTTACCGTCAATGAAAAGTGTACTATGATAACCGTAGTAAGGCCTATTCCATAAATACTGTAACCAACCTGAAGTACGTAAGGTAGACAAACAGATGAAGGAACCACCTGAAGTTAGCAGTCTTTATTAGCTAGATTGAGTCCTTTTAACTGCAGAAATCCTGAATTTATGTAAAAAAAGTTACATATTTCACAAGTATTTAAATGAAGAATTTGGCTAATTCAAATGAACAGAATTCCAATATTTATGTAAAAAGAAAAGGAGTACTAACAAATTTATTTGAGCATAAGCTTTCGTGAGCTACAGCTCACTTCATCGAATGCATGTGTATACCTTTATCACAGGTTTATTGATATTTTAGTTCCCCACAAATGTTTACCTACTTTATGTGATCCTTGATTACTCCACAGTTTTTATTCAAGGGAATAAAATAAAAAATTTAAAAAAGGCAGTAAAATCACATTCAGTATTTTTTTTTTTATTTTAGTCTCTACCTAATGCCAATTGAGGATATTTTCTACTTGAAATAAAGTTCATTTAATCTCTCTTTCTGCCTGTATTCCTCCCTCTTTTCCAGGAAAAGAGTTCCAGTTCCCCATCAGATATACAAATTCTAGCTGGAGCAATGAAAGGAAAAGTTTATTCATTCTTCAACTAGAATTATAAAAACAGGCCAAGGCATAAAGTGCTGATCTAATGTGTGTGTGGATTATATTAAGACATTGTGCCATAGCTTATTTCATTTTGAACCAGAGTACACTATAATAGAATACGTTGTGAGATTTGGTTTTATTCAAGGCTGGAACACATTGCCCAAAGGTTGAATTTACCTCAATAGTTATATTTCATGAATGATTTAAAATTTATTACAGAAGAGTCGAACTACCAAAACTATTGACGTTCAAGAATATGCCCTCTACACAGTCCATGGTGGGAAAGGTGTTATTTTAACTATAATGTTTACCCATTGT